GCAACATGACCCAGGTTGCCTACCAGATTGGCAATGTGGAGAGGTTCAACGGTGATCCCGGGCACCCTATACACCTTTGTAAGCCGAATTGACTACATACTGGCCCTTTATTTTACCGGAGACGAACGCCAACAGCAGATCCTATTTGGGCATGTCGAGCGCAGCATCAGCGGGGACGTCATGCGCAGCATTGGAGCCAACGACAACAACACCAGCTAAGACGACAACTGGTACTCAACTATAAACCCCAGACCCCTAACCACATTCTTTTGGAGGAGTTTCGGAGGACCCCATTCAGAGGCAGTGTACAAGCATTTCTAAAGGAAAACTGCAAACAAACACTTACCAGTAAGCTTGAATTAGAACAAAATGCTGAAGAAAAAACTTTATATAATATTTAAGATTAATAGCATCCAGTATTGAATCCCTTATTAAAAAATTACCTACACACATTTATTTAAGAATAAATAACCACAATATACCAAATTTGCGTTCACTCATAAACATTTTACAAGAATCCACAAAAATTCTATAATCACAATATTAATCAGACTAACAATAATACCAGAAAATATCCTACACCTTTCCTACATTATAATTCACCAGTGCCATATCAAGCTCCACAAAGTCATCAAACACAACCAACTCATAATCCACCAATGTATTTCAACCAAGCCAACATGAATACAAGGCTTTACAACCAAACCAACGTGAAAACCAATCAACACAAAACTCAAGTTCTCAAGTTCCTATGTACCCAATCAACCAATAAAGCGATTAAGACCAGCTGATAGTGGACAGACTGGGATGAGTATTGACGAATCATTGTACCAAGAGGACGCTTTCTATCAGCAGTGTGTCCCATATGACTATTTTTACTATCCAACTTACGATTTGGAATATTATCCAGAATATCAGCATCAAACTGAAAACAATCAAAATTCAGAAACAACACAACAGCCACAGCAGATTAATTCAGACGAGACAAGCAATGACAACCAAGAACCCAATGTTGAACAGGCAATTAAATAAAATAGAAAATAATTTGAAATGTCTTATAATACCGGATGATGAACATGATATCCAAAAAAATATTTGAACTACCAATCCAGAATACTAATATTCTTATTCATACCAGCAATCGACCGCTCATTATCAGCAAAAGTATAACTATACCTTCAAAGATTTTGTTCCCAACAACAAACGAATTTTTACTGCACCCTTTTTCCGAGAATTACGATCTCTTATTAGGAAGAAAACTTTTAGCAGAAGCAAAGGCAATAATAAGTTACCGCGATCAAGAGGTAACTCTTTACAACACCAAATACAAATTAGTAGAAGGAATAGTAGCACAAGAACAGAGTTATTTTCAAAATGTAAATATGATACCTGACACCATGCTCAGACAACCAGAAAAAATTTCACCCATATTAGAATCAGACCTATACAGATTGGAACATTTAGAAGAAAAACAAAGATTGTGTGCACTCCTGCAACAATACTATGACATACAGTACCATGAAGGTGACAAGTTGACATCTACTAATCAAACCAAACATACCATCAATACAAAGCATAATCTACCCATTTGTTCTATTATACAGTTACCCACAGGCTTATGAACAAGAGGTCGAAAGCCAAATACAAGATATGCTAAATCAGGGTATTATACGTACCAGTAACTCACCTTACAATAGTCCCATCTGGATGGTTCCAAAAAAACAAGATGCAGATGTAATTTTTTCACAACTATAGACCTGGCAAAAGGTTTTCACCAGATCGAGATGACATAATTGTATTCTCGACATCCCTTGATGAGCACCTACAATCGCTCAGACTAGTTTTCGAAAAACTAGCAAAGGCCAACCTTAAATTACAGCTTGACAAGTGTGAGTTTCTCAAGCATGAAACCACATTTTTAGGACATATTCTAACAGCAGGCGGAATAAAACCAAACCCTAAAAGCCATTCAGAAATATCAAATTCCCATTAAACCAAAATAAATAAAAGCTTTTCTTGGACTGACAGGATACTACCGTAAATTCATTCCAAACTTTGCAGACATAGCCAAACCCATGACTAAATGTTTAAAAAAAAAACATGAAAATTTATATTACCAACCCAGAATATGACTCAGCATTTAAAAAATTAAAATATCTAAAATCAGAAGACCCAATTCTTAAAGTACCCGACTTTACAAATAAATATATTTTAACCACAGACGCAAGTGATGTCGCTTTGGGAGCGGTACTCTCACAAGAGGGACACAAAGACTTTCCGACACTACCTACTTGGACGACACTTTGAAATATCCAGTGATCATCAACCACTAAGCTGATTGTACCGTATGAAAGATCCGAATTCAAAACTAATCCGATGGAGAGTATAATTATCCGAATTTGATTTTGACATAAAGTACATTAAGGGAAAAGAAAATTGCGTGGCGGACGCACTATCCAGAATAAAACTCGAGGAGACATACCTGAGCGAACAGACCCAACATAGCGCAGAAGAAGATAATAGTGACTTTATCTTTATTACAGAAAGACCTTCAAACACATTCAACAGACAGGTGATATTTTTGATGGGACCACCAAACATTAAACTAACCAAGTATTTCAAAAAACACAACACATATGACTAGGGAAAAAGCCGAACAATATTTGGTTAACCATTTTTGCGGTAAAAAGAGTGCGTTGTATATTGACAGTGACGCAGATTTCGGGATCATTCAAGCCGCACATAAACAGACTACAAACACTAAATATACCAGAATCTTGCGTAGCAAATTTTACTAAAAAACATAACCACTTATGCAGAATTTAAGTAATTGATCTTAAGCACTCACGAAAAACTTCTACACCCTGGAATATAGAAAACTACAAAGCTTTTCAGTGAAACATACTATTTCCCCAATAGTCAACAACTTATCCAAAACATAATAAATGAATGCAATATCTGTAATTTAGCAAAGACAGAGCACCGTAACACAGATATGCCAATGAAAACCACACCCAGACCACATCATTGCCGCGACAAATTCATGATAGACATTTACTCATCTGAAGGCAAACATTACGTTAGTTGCATGGACATTTATGTGAAATTTGCCACATTAGTAGAAATAAAAACAAAGGACTGGTTGGAATGCAAAAATGCACTTATGCGTATATTCAACCAGCTGTGCAAGTCAAAAATACTTATAGCAGACAGATATGGCGCGTTTTCCAGTTTGGCCCTTAAACGATGGCTAGAAAGTGAGGAAATTGAATTGCAGCTTAACACGACAAAGACCGGTGTGGCGGACATAGAAAGACTACATAAAACAATTAATGAAAAAATTCGCATAATCAAAACATCCGACGACGACGAAATCAAATTAAGCAAAATAGAAACAATACTTAACATATACAATCACAAGACCAAACACGATACCACTGGACAGACCCCTGCACACATATTTCTCTACGCCGGACAACCAATATTAGACACACAACAAAACAAAGAAAACAAAATAAACAGTGACAGAATGGTATTCGAAGTCGACACGTGATACAGAAAAGGCCCACTACAGAAAGGCAAATTAGAAAATCCATTTAAGCCAACTAAAAATGTGGAACAAACGCACCCGACCATTACAAAATCTCTAACAGAAATAGAGTTACTCACTACTACAAAACACAATTAAAAAAACGAAAGAAAAATGATCAAATTTCAATTCCACAGGGTGCCTGGAACTTGATAACATTTTTGAGAATGTAAAAAGCCAAATTTTTTTGAAAAAGAAAATAAAGTTTACAATAACGAAAATAAAGAAATAAACAATGAATGTGTCACCAATATTATTAAACATTTAAAACCAATTTGTAATTTTGAGTCAGTTCATACAAATGAAATAATAAAATACATAGAACCAAACACAATTATAACCTGGAATTTAACCCAAACAAGTCTCAGACAAAATTGCCAAAATCCAATTAATAATATAAAAATAGAAGGAAACAAAATGATAAGAGTGACTCAATGTAAAATAGAAATCAATAGTATAATTTTAAGTGAAAATCTCTTAAAACCAGAAATAGATTTGACCCCATTATACACACCACTTACCATAACAAAAATAAAAACTGTAAAACAGAACGACATTGATGAAATGATTTCTCAAAACAATGTTACACTTTACATATTATTGACTATTATCATCATTACACTTATTTTATTGTACTTATATTTAAAATACGTATCGTTTCACCTATTCATGATGTTGTACGCAAAATTAGAATTAAGAAAAAATCAAAACACACCACAACAAATAGAAATTGAAGAAGCTCCATTACCATAACATTTAATTTTCAGTCTGAAGTTGAACACTGAAGAATAAAGATCATAATTCAACTCGATTTGCACTTTCTTTTATTTAACAAAACTTCGGTTTCAGCGTTGGTCTTAGTTACTACAACGGTCCATTTAATAGACTCAAAAGTAAATAATAATGTAACTATAACCTAAACTTTTATATTGCCAAAACTACCGCTATACGCTTAGGCTCCGTAATTGTTTAGTCGCAGTGGACTTTGCTGTGCTATTGGTCAGACTCGTCACATTGGACAAGAACTGCACCCACATTGGTTTCCCTTAATATGGGGAAAAAAACTTGCACACCCACACTTTTGAAAAATGTTTTGATATTTTTTCATTTTTTTGTTAGGTTTGTAAATTTCTATCGATTTACCCAAAACGTCTTGCCACGCACACAAGCCGCTTAAAACTGCCTACTCATGCCTACTCTTTTAAATCATTTTATTATTTTTTTTATTCAATTTTTTTTTCCATTTTTATCAATATGCCAGGAAATTTTGAATATTTCTTAATTTCACTTCCACCAACTGAGTAACGGATATCTGATAGTCGGGGAACTCGACTATAGCATTCTATCTTGTTTTCGCCCAATTTCTACCGACATTCCAGAAAACTAATTATTTAATTTCATTTGTTTTTAGAACTATCCATTATTAGGCAAAAGTCATTAAAAAGTGACCAAGAGCTGGAAATATCATATAGAAAAGCAAAGGAATTACAAATATTTATTAAAAAATTTACATCGAAATTGGAACTACTTAACGATAAAATATATAAAAAGAGGATTCACCATGATGTAGAGGAGAGTGAGTTCGACCACGAACAGGCTGAGCAAACTCAAAAACTAAAGGTATACTTTACGCTCTACTAATTCGTTTTGTAAATATTATTATTTTTTGTAGATTGGAGAACTTGAAATACTAAAATTGGAAGGAAAAATTATTGAGCTACAAAACGAAATTGAACTTTACAAAGATTTTGTAATAGATAACCATAGAGAAGCATTATCATGGGAAACAAAATACAAAATGCTTGAAGAAACTATTAAATGGACGAAAGTAGAGCGCTCTGTAAAAGGGGAAATCGGTCTGATGAAAACTGAAATACACCGCATGAATATAAGATATAGTCAACTTAAGCGAGCCCAGGAAAGTCTTGTTTTAGATCTAGAGCATTGCGTTATGCATCGTGAACAAATATTTGTCAATGCATCAGTCAAGGAACACTTACAAGCCAAATTTAAGCAATTAAAAAATGCTTCTCAAATTCAAGTTAGGCTTGATGAAGTTCACAATAGGACTAAGCTGATAAGTAATGAAATATCTTTTTTATCGGAAAAACAATTAATTGATGATATCAATAAAATTGAACGTATGATTTATATGCTCCGTAGAATTCAAACAGATCTTAACGATATCATTAAGGAGGATGCCCACATTCAAGATCGAATAGAAGATGGAATATTAGCTAAACATGCTAACTTGGAGCAAATAATACGAAAACAGATGAGAGCAAAAGCTTATAAAAGGCTTAATACATTAAAATCACAGCAAGTAATACTTCGTTCTGAGTTGACAGTTCAACAGCTATCTCAAAAGCAAAGCGAGCTAAATTATGATCTTACAGAAATTGCAAAGGCTCTTTTACTAGACTATCCTAATAAGAAATCATTTGTTTTTAAAGTTCTTCATGTTCTTAATGACTAGAAGTATAATTGAAATATTAAATGTATCAATACAGATAAAATAGTGTTGTGATGGTTGCCAGCTTCGGGGTCTGAGTCGAAATAGATTCAGTCAAAGTTTTTAATTTTCCAAAAGTAATTTATTTAAAATTAAAAATAGTTTGTGTTTCATCCATCGAAGATACCAGAACGTAGCATAAAAGTTTAATACAACTACTTTCAAACAATTTGGATGGCCCAATAATGTGGCGTTTACTTCAAAAATGTTGTAAATTATCTCTTTTGCACCGATGCAGTGAGCACCCTTAATGTATTTTCAAAATTTGCTTACAGCTATTAAGTAAATCAGCGCAGATAGTGCCAGGTAGTTTTTATTTGTGGTACCCTCGTTCGAAGAGGCACCTGGTGTTAGGTATAGAATCTGGACTGCAATGTTGTCTAGATAGAATATCCTTCACGATGCATGCAAAAAAAAGTCTTACAGAAAAGTCCACTTTCCCTAGCACTTAATTTTGTTTCAAAAACTAAGCGACAGAGAAAAACTCCACTCGGAAATTACCTTTGTACTAATGACGCCATTAATATGTCAAACACTGCCTCGAGGGTCGAATATTAAAACAGACCATAAGTCTTTCGTCATTCGAGCAAACGTTGTCCTCTTATCTACACTTCGAACTTTACTACCGTAATATTGTAAGGAATGCCATGTTCGTTGGATTGGGACAACAGGGCAACCTCCCTTGACTCCAGTACAATTTTGGGCAATTCCGTAAAGCGTCGACCGCCGCATTTGCTTTCGACAGCCGTCAACATTTACCGCTCGACCTGGCGCTAAAACTCAATTAGGCATATTTTTATTATTAATACCTTGTTAAATTTACCTCAATCGCGAGTTCAAATTGTCGTCGTCGTGCCGTTCAACTTTGGGTCACTTGGTACCCGAAGTACAATTTGGTACTTTTGGGTGCAATTTGGTACTTTGGTACAATTTGGGTCGCGCAGGAATTTAGTAGAGTCGGAAGCATACTCACGTTTGGTTCGCACATCCCGTCAAATCCTTTGGAGCTCCTCAGGATCAGGTTACCTTATACATATGTAAATACATCCGTTGTAGTGCAGTCTTTGTAAGCACCGCTAATTGCGGGGCAAGTTTCCGCGGTGTTTTGTAGCTCTCGAAGGCTTCCTAGACTTGCCTAGACCGTTCCCAGAAGCAGCCGACGATCAACGGTGATCTGATGAAGTGATTGGGAAAAATAATTAATGTTAAAATTAATCCATAATCTAAACATGATGTTTATTAAAGTGAGAGTATTTACCAGGATGATTGAGTGAGTGTTCACTGTAGCGGAGATGGAGCCGTCTTAGTCGCCTGGGTGATGTCCGTAATATCCTCCAGGCATCCTAGGTCGGGTGGGTGCGCATGGTCACAACATCTGCGGCTACCAGACCTTAAAGTTTTTCGTCGCTTATATAATATTAAAGTAATGCATTTGTTTTCCTTTATTTTTCTTCGTTTGGTTATTAGAGATCGTAGGTGTGAGTCGTCGATAGAATTCGATATTTATGTTGCGAGCTGTGTGTGGCTGGGGAAACACTGAGCTTGCGGCCCTGCCTTAAGGAAGGGACAAAAACAGTTCGTAGCAAGGCTTATGAGCAAGAGGTCGAAAGCCAAATAGAAGATATTCTAAATCAGGGCCATTAACGAACCTTTCAATAGTCCCATTTAGGTGGTCCCAAGGAAACAAGGTACAGGCAAACCGATATTCAAAATTGTAATAGACTACCGAAAATTAAAAGAAATCACAGTGGGACACAGGCACCCTGTAAAATCCCAAATGAGAAGACTTTACTCGTTGAGTTTTTGTAAGAAACTGATTTTATTTGGGAATATCTTCGGTTTAAATAGGTGACATGAGAATCGCATCTTAGAGTAAATGGCCTACGCAGAGGCCTAAGTAGGTAGTCCCCGCCTTATCGAGGTCCCACGCTCCGGCACATCTGCCTATCTTGAGCGGCGAGGACCTTATCTGTGGTCTCCCACTAAGGGACTATTTTAGGAGGCGGGGAACGATCTCAAGTGACTGACTCAGGTAGTGTGCACTTAGGTTACATGTTTTTGAGCACTGCACCCATGTCGCCTTAGATAACAAAATCCTAAATATAAATTATCGCTCTCGATTCATTTACATAAGATATGAACGGAGCCCAAAATTGTAAGTCTTTAAATATATTCGTGTTCATGTGTGAACACACCCAATACCAAACATGGACTTTTGTTCATGTTTTTTTTTTTCTTAGGAAAACTACGCAAATTCAACTACATTATGAATACTTACGCATGCCATTCGGATTAAAAAACGCACCAGCCACCGTTCAACGATGCATGAATGATATTTTGCTGCCACGCTTAAATAAATACTGCCTCGTGTACTTGGACGACTTAATTGTAGTCTCGACATCTCTGGCAGAGCAGCTACAATCGCTGAGACTAGTTCTTGAAAAACTGGCAAAAGCCAATCTCAAATTACAGCTTGTCAAGTTTGAGTTTCTAAAGACGGAATCCACATTTAAGATACATAAAACCAAACACTGATAAAATTAAGTTATTCGAAAATATCAAATTCCAACTAAACTAAAAAAAATAAAAGCTTTTCATGGAGCGACAGGATACTACCGTAAGTTCATTCTAAACTTTGTAGACATCGCCAAGCCCATGACAAAGTTCTTAAAAAGCAATACGAAAATTGACCAACCAACACAGAATATGACACAATATTCAAAAAAGATAATATTTTATATCAGAGCACCCAATTCATAAAGTACCGGACTTTACAAAGAAATGTACATTAACCGCTAACGTTGCTTTGGCTGCAGTACTCTCATAAGAGGGCCACCCTCTTAGTTACATTAGCCGAACTATTAATGAACATGACATGAACTACAGCACAATTGAAAAGGAACTATAGCAATTGTGTGGGCGACAAAGACTTTTATACACTACCTACTTTGAAGACACTTTGAAATATCTTGTGACCATCAGCCACTGGCTGGTTGTACCGTATGAAAGACCCAAATTCAATTGATTTGCCAAAAACGTTTTGCCACGCCCATTATAACGCCCATAAACCGCACAGCACTCTCACGCCCACACTTTAAAAAATTTTTTTTAGTTTTTTTTTTTCATTTAAAAAACGTTTTTTTTTTCGTTGTCGTTTGGCATTCGGTCACAAACACTCGAACATACCTAAATGTAAACGCAAATGCATGTAAACGCAAATGAAAGTGCACAGCCGGTCGCTTAATTTTTCGTTTTTTTATTATTACCGCTATCTGAGTCCCTAGGCCAGAAGCCATCATAATATTCATAACCCTATAATTAGATTTATTGGATGACTTTCCCCGCCACTGTGAGAAGATAGCTGCAAGGGACATTCTGGAGAGAAGAATAGTTGGCTGGATGCAGCCAACTTTCGTGAAGACCACATCAGCCAGCCAGCTATTGTGACAGTGACTGCAGCGTTGGACCTTCACCTGCGGCACCCCGACTTTATTAATTTATACATATACATGTATGTAGATATAGCCACCGCCATCGTTTACCAGTTATATTCGCTGTTGCTCGGCAGACAATTTGACGGCAATAATAACAACAGAAAAGTTAACAGTTCCGTTGCATGTCGGCGACGCTTGTTACCTCTACAATTTCGCGGTAAAAATAAAGGGTGTCTCGTTCCTCTGACGCATTTGGGCATTTTATTTTATTTGATTTTATTTTTTCTCGAAAATGGAAAATGTCCGATAAGGAAAACTGGGTTCGGGCTCAAGATGAATCTCCAAGTGGTGTGGACTTCTACAGAGCCAAAGCCCTATCTATATTGCGACAAATGAACTCGATGAAATTTAATTTGGACGCTGATTCGGCTAATCAGTTTGATGAAGCTCACTTACTGGCGCGAGTGGAATGGATCAATTCTCTAAACTCGGCGTTTAATTCGGCGCAGACATCGTTAGAAAAATTGATTTTACGGAGATCTCGAGTGATCATCGGTTTTAATTTTCCGCAGTTTTCATCGATGTGACTCGAGGATTAGCTGCTCATCGCAAGTTGCAAATTGCTGGCTTCAACCACTGCCAATTCAACATCTATTGAAGTTACTAACAATGCGGATCTTTCTTTTCAAACTAGGAAGCCTCGGTTGTCAAATCGTATTTTCTCGCATCTTTCACAACGGTCATCGAAGTGATATTAAAAAATTACAATATCTACGGTCAAGTTTAGGCGGCAACTATGGCCCTAGAAGTTAATGGCTATACCACGGCGAACTTATCCGTGGAGTAGATGTCTATATGCAGCATTTCGCCCGCATATGAGGGGATTGGTGTGACTCCAAATTCATGCTTCTAGGGGTGCCTGTTGTATTTAGCCTAGGTGCATGTCTTACAGTTTATAACTACTTCGTTGGCAAGTTTGAACATATTTGGATTATTAAAATTTGGAAAAATTAATAGTAATCCTGGACGACATGTTTAACATTTTCCTGGGCAGCCCTGTGGGCGCGGTTGTGCTCGCACGTAATAATTTCTCTCTGTTCATTATCATCTGTGATGTCATTCACGAAGATTTTGCAATGACAAAATTTTGTTGCTGGGAATTGCGTCACTAAGGCATGCTGGATGCATGCTTGTGTGAAGAGGTTGCAGTAAATAGTGATAACATCTATGTTTACAACTTCTTTAATCAGTCCGAACAGAGAGTCTTTATTAATTAATTGGATGATGTGTCGATTTTTGGTACCGAAAACTATAAAACGTCGCCGTGAGGGCTGGCTTGCTTCTTCCAGGATTATTTGATTCCTGTAGCAGTTCAACGGTTTATCGGTAGTTTCGACCGTGTAGGTCAACGACTGTTCACTGTGCACAGTGGCTGCGTCAGAATGGCGTTCCTTTTCCAAAGCATTAATTTTCTGTCGGGACAAAGCGTCGGCTATATAATTTTCCTTTCCAGGCTTATAAAACACTTTGGCGTTGTGTTCTTCGATGAATTCTTTCCATCGTTTTATTTTAGCATTTGTATTCCTGTCGGACACAGCAAAGGTGAGAGGCAGATGGTCCGTAAAAATCCGGATCTCTCTGGTGCCGTATAGGTAATTTTGCAATGGCCCAATAGTCCAGACGATTGCTAATAACTCCCTTTCGTTTGTTGCGTAATTAACCTCGAAGTCTTTTAATGTGCGAGATATCATAGTGATTGGTCGTCCGTTTTGGAACAGTACCGCACCGATACCGCTTGCTGAAGCATAGGTAGGCAAGTCGAAAGGGTGTTTAAAGTCTGGATATGTTAGTTTTACATCTTCCGATGATAGAATGTCTCGCAGGCACTCGACCGCTCTGCGTTGGGTCTCATCAAATTCAATAGCGACCTTTTTTGACATATGTTTATTAACAGTGCCATTCTCTCCTTTAAGTATTGAGGTAAGAGGTCTAGCTATAAAGCGAAGTCTTTAACAAAACTACTGTAATAACTGGCTAGTCCAAGAAATTACCTGAGACTGAACAAATTGTTTGGTTCGGTATACTCTTGAATGGTTTTTACCTTTTACCTTTCCTAAGTTCTCTAAAATCATAGGAATACTTAACATAGGGTACCGATCGGCTATGGTTCGTTCATTCAGTTTCCTGAAATCGATCACCAGTGGTTTTTTTCCTTTCCGTCGGCATCAGTTTCTTTTTTGTCACAACCCATGTCGGGCTGTGAAAGGCGTCCTAGAAGACCGGATAATGCCATCCTTGAACAGCTGTTTGATTTCTGTGTCAACGAAATTCGCTGCTCCCATTCGTTAGTCTCCGTACGGATTGTGGCAATGATCGAGGTGTTAAATGGAAGCGCCTCGTTAGAGTACGAAAACACTTGTTTTCTCTTAAGGATCATTTTTTTGAATTCAGCTTTCACCGAACTTGGGACTTCTACGTCATCGATATTTGTGAAGTTCACAGTATCGCATTCGTGGTATTTTAGCTGTTCTGATACGTTTCCATACCTAAATGCATTGTTGCGTAGATCTAATGCCGCTCCGACCTGCGTTAGCAAGTCGAAACCTATTATGGCTTTAAACGTACTGATAGTATCAAGTAAAAAAAATGGGGCTGTTAGGCCAAATATGTGCATTAAGGACTTTCCTTTAATTTACTGGAGCCGTGAACGGAACTCACAGTGAATGGGGAGTCGACAAGAGTTATGTTTTTCAGCTCCTTTACGGGTTTCACATAATTTTTTGCCGCTCCAGTATCTACGAGAATTTTTAAAACTCTCCCCGCCAGCCTTCGTTCAATGAAAGGCAAGCGGCACCTTTCTCTAAAAAATGGATAAGGTCGTTGGAGTCCAATGAGTCACTGTCGTCCTCAATCGCATTAAGAGCGGCGGCGGCCGCGTTTTCGTAATCATCATCTTCTTCCGCATTGGCGGCTTGCTCAACATGGAAAACCCTCTGGCGCTTTTGGCCAGGATTTCTCTCAGAGGAGTTTGGTCTTTCAGGGGCATGTTTATTACTTCCCTGCCTGAACTTCGAAGGATGTCTTAAACTTTGAAGACGATTGATTTTGTTTGGATAGGTTAGAGGCCCAGTCGTCCCGTTTGCGCCATGAACCTGTATTTTGATTCTTGTTTGGCTTTTT